GGCGCCTGATGGCTTCGTCTTAAGCCAAGAAAAAAAAGAACTTCCAAGCAGTTTTGCAGCCTGCAGCAATGCGCATCGGTGAGATGGAAAGATGAAACAGTGTCTTTTCACAAGTTTCCCCCTATTCTGAGTGAACGGCGAATAAGAACGGCGTGGGTATCCAACCTCCGCATCGGCGAAGAAGTGATTCCGATGATGACTGTTTGTTCACGCCAATTCCCGAAAAGCGATTTCATTCTTCCAGGTAAATAGGCGTGTGTAGCTGCGCTACACACCCCTTGTTCTTCAAATGACACCTATTAGTGTTATGGATGACAGAGCTTGAAAAAATGGGAACTGTGGTAGGGTTATAGTGAGCATGCTTGCGGCGTAGCGTGTTTCGTAATGCACAGTCCGTGTTTCTGCGTAGGCGAAGTAAAGGTGTTCTGATCAAGAAATGCAGTTTATTTTATTTTCTGGGCGTTCGAGGGACTTGATCGGGTACAGCGAATGGAACGAGGAGCGACAATTGTGTGTCGTCGCCCTTCAAGACCCTGCGGACATAAGAGACCCATTCTCGACAATGGGGACGTTAAGTTCGCGGCGTCTAGAAAGTGCTGAATTCTGTGATTGCAACTGTGCGACACTGGTATTCAAAGTTTGCGAGATGCTCATACGCTTGCAAGTCATCATAGCATATAAATTGATTGGTGCAGGTGAAATGAGCGATAGTTGTTAACACTTGAGAAATAACAAGCTGCTGTCAACGTATTTGCGAAGAAATGTTTGAGTGGAATATAACTGCTCAATGCAGGCCCGTAGCCAGAATGGGGGGCGGGGGCGGGCACCCAGGCTAAGAGTGTGATGTATGTGTGCTGCCTGCTCTTGTCAAGTGATCGGTGAGCAAAAACTTAGCAGTGCATGCGCAAAATATCACATCGGAAAGTGCGAGGAAAAAAGGCTGCCACAGGTATTAGAAAACGATCTACACACAGAAAAGGTACCTGGCCCCCTTTAGATTTAACGAGTGCTTTAAAGAATTCGTGCCCCAACACGTCGACAGTTAGCTGAAAAGTTAAAATCGGGATTGTGGTCCTTGTGCAGTGGTTCTCACGTGCACTGAGGATGTCGTAAAATTTAGATATCCTTGTTCGATTTCACCCGCAGAGCAATGCACTGGTTGTGCCTCGCTCTCAGGTCGTGTGCGCTCAGCTTTCTTGACTTGTGGTCTTACATCGGATAATCGTGGATTACGTGGGATACTGAGTGATAAATGCGGGTAAGCAACAAAATTTGAGGAAACCACGACTCCATGCACGAGCGCGGGTCAGCAGCGATACACGCGAGGCCCCTGCGCTCCTCTAGACATTAGGCATGCCATTGTCGAAAGATGACCGCGCATCTGAAAGCACAGCATCTGTAGCAGTGATTGAGCACGGCATATACAAGCTTGCACTTTACAGAGAGGCCTGGAGGGCAGGAGCACTGGCCATCGGCAATTTCAAGCTCCGTAAAAGCACCTCGCAGCCGCACTACGATCTTGTGTGGGTCCAAGTTTACGCCGGACGTCTCAACTCAAAGAGCAGCAACATTCATTTCGTCGTCAAAATTGTCCTTCGCACCAACTAAAATAAGGTACTCAGCTCCGAAAACTCACTCGCCTTCAGCAAAACATCGGGAATAAGCGTCGCAATCCAAGAAATGCAGTATTTCTTGGATTGCAGCGATAAGCTGCGCCGACCTCACTGTACCCGCCATTACTGCCAGTGTTGCTCAACTGTGAAGCGCCCCCTGGTTTTCATTTTAGGTGCGAATAGTAGGGGTGGCTCAGTTATAGTCGTCGGCAAGTATTTGAAAAGAGTCAGAAAGGCTTCATCGAAAACACCTTTACCGCTTAGGAAAACAGAAACTGTACTTTTGGACTGTTGTATCAAAATAACATGTAAATAGGTAGCGGCGGCATACAGAACTGCAATACCGCGAGTCAAAATGGCACTGCCAGCGCTGTCATCATCATTAAACAGTGGCATTTTTTCTTTTTTTTTGTTTTGCTGTAGGTAGGGTGGCTCACTTTTGGTTTGCGCTGCGCGCTTCCTCTGTTATTTTGTTTTGGTCGCGTTGCAAAATCACTGTTCGCATGTATAGCTATCGCCAGGTTACCTAACTCGCCTTGACTGGCAAAAACAACGTCCATAAGGTAAGGTTTTCATCGTTTATTGTGAGTGTGCAAATAGGTAAAAACAATGCATACAATTAGGGCCGAACAAAAGAGGTAGAGAGAGAGAAAATACTTTATTCACAGGATCGTGCTTGGGGTAGGTGCCGGCCTCGCAGGGCGCGGTCGACTCTTCTAATATTCTAGTCTATGTAGTCCTAGAAAAACTGGGCCAGGAACTCGAGGGTTGAACCTGACCCGACAGAGGATACTTGTGTTTTCACGCCCCGAGCTTGCGGATCAAAAACAAGTCACTTATACATATCGAAAGCTTTCAATGCATGAGTAAAGACTCTTGAAACCTAACAATCATTTGCATATAGCTCAACAATGAGATCGCTGAATGAACGTCGCTCTCATTGTGTTGTGCCATTCGAGTAGTAGTGTGCCTTCAGGACAAGGGTCTCATTCTGCCGTAAGATGCGGCGCTTGCCAAGTAGTGTTGATCTTAAAGTGAAGTGAAGGTAATATGTGGAACCGGGAACAAAATTTCAACATTGCCGACAGATATCTCGCGAAGTGAGAGCAATGCAGTTTTGTTAAAATTGCTACGTAAGCAATTGCGGATGCATGTAGTTATGAATCTTATTAGCTCTGCAGTGCTGCATTGAGTAGCTCAGATTTGTGCAATATTGTGTCGTATCGACAGGATAGGAACAAGTTTCTAATTGTCAGTTGTGAACGCATGATATAGGCAATATAGATTTAGGTGATGGGCATAAACATATTTCAGGCTTGTTACGTTTATCATTAGATATACGTTACATATTTATTACAGCTATAACGTGTCATCACAAGTAGTGACCGGTCTTTTGAGTATGCAGGGAACATGTATGCTAAAGGAACAGAGTTTTGAGGTAGGTATTTACATATAGAAAATGCCTGATTTGAGGAAAAAAAGCTTTAAGCATGCATTGTACATGTCCGTTGTTTGTACATCTATGTTGGTACTCTTACAGTACACTAAACAACTGCTCAGATGTGATCACAATCCATTTTTTTTTGCGCAGACATATTGATAGAACTTGAGCACTCTCTTGCGAGCAAGCAGTCCTGAAACGACTGGCGGAACGTGATGTGAAGCTGCCCAAATACTGAATCAATAAAGGTCACATTAATTACACACTTCTTATTTTGTTTACTTTTAAGTATACTTGTGCTTGATCGCTGAAGTTGTTTTCTTCCTGCTACATTGAGAGGTGCCGAATTTAAATACGTACTATCTTGCAGCGTGTCTGTGGATTAGTCAAGATCATGTACGTTTTAACTACCTCTTCACTTTTCAAAATTTTTTTCTTGACAATAGTGCACAGAAAAATTTCCTTCATAGTGGCAGGTACTATAGCCATGACAAGTTAATTTAAACAGAAGCAGATGTGTTCAATCGAATCAAGGAGGGTTTTTATGCTATATGAAAAAATTCACACCACCATATTAAACGCACAAAATCTTGCTCATTACGACAGCATTCACGTCCATGATGAAGCTGTGCTGCAAGTGCTCATCACCTTTTTATTTATTATTTTAAGAAGCCCTTCAACATATGTGCAAAGCTAATGCAATTGAGTGCAGGCTTGTGAGCTTTGGTGCAACTTTCTGAACCTAGTATGAGCTATTAACACAGTTATTTAAAGCAAAACACTTGTGGTTGTAGTTTTTGAACTGTCTCACAAGGCACAACTAAATGTCGGAAAGCCTCTTAATGCCCCTAACTTTAGGGGTGCTCATTTTGTAATGCAATTAATATTATCTGACCATTTACCTACTAACGTTAATATTGGTACGTGAGTAATGAGTCAATATATTGCAAATATATTTACACAATACTTTTGCAAGAGCGGTTTCAGCGCTAGCTGTCACGATTTGGTGCGCGTTCGTGAACCTGGGAGGGCCGGGGTACCCTCCAGCAGAGTGACGACCAGCTACGGCTGGTGGACGGTGACTGACCCCCGAGCGGCTGTGCTCGGCGGTGTTTATTGAGTCCGCCGTGCCCAATGTTGCCCACCGAGCCTAGTGGGGCCACTTAACCTAGCGGCCAACAAATATCAGGGAAGGGGGGCGCCACACGATTGTCACACCCCTCACCACCTAGTTTGTTGGTCTACACAAACACAAACACCTGTCAATTCGTCGAGTAGCGGTCTGGCGGTCTCCGGTGCCTCGCACTTCGCCTCAGCACGGGTGTCGCAGGTGTGACCGCATCAGGCGCTGCCTGCGTCGCTGTCGCACTCTCTGCCCACCTCGCTGGTGTCCCCGGACTTGCAGGCTGCGTCACAGTAATGCGAGTAGCACCAGCCCCTGGTGCTGTGCTGGCATCAGTCACTGCACTTGGCTCCCCTGCCTGCTGGCTTCCTGAAGGTGCGGCGGCTGAGGTCGCCAGGCGAGGCCTCACATGGTTAGCATGCCGGTGCCACGTGGTCCCGTCCGACATGCGAATGAGCAGTGACGATACACTGGCTGGAGAGACCACGTGCCTGGCAGACCGGGGTACACCAGGCCGGAAGTTCCTGGCGAAGACCGGAGCCCCGGACTCCGGCAACGGCCCAGGATGGCAACCTCGGTCAGCCGCCAGCTTCTGCTTGAGCTGCTTCAGGAGCGCTGGGGACCGGAGGTCCGGGCGCAAGACGTCCAACGGTGTCTTCACCATCTGGCCCAGCAGGAGCTCGCAGGGGGCACGGCCCGTGACGTCGTGGGGTTTGGTCCGGTACTGAAACAGGACTCAGGCATCCTGCATCCGGAAATCCCAACCCTTGCTCTTCTTGAGCTTGTCTTCGACTGTTTGTGCTACCCGCTCGGCAGCACCAATCTACGCGGGGTGGTACGGTGGAACCAATATCCGGCGGATGCCGTTCTTCGTCAGCCAGGCCAGATACTCCTCACTGGCGAAAGCAGGACCGTTGTCGGACACGATGACGTCCGGCAACCCTTGCGCTGCGAAGACTTGCCGCAACGCCGTAATGGTGGCCCCTGCCGAGGGAGTGGTGACTGGCAGTACCTCCACCCACTTGGAGAAGGTGTCCACCACCACCAGGAAGTAGTGGCCCTTGAAGGAAACCCCGAAATCTACGTGCAGGCGGGACTACGGCTTCTCCAGGAACGGCCAGGGGGTGACCTCCACATGGCGAGAGGCTCGCTGGTCCTCCTGGCAGGTCTGGCAGCTCCGCACCATGCGAGCAATGTCCTGGTCCAGGCCAGGCCACCAAACGTGGGACCGGGCCAACATCTTGGTCTTCTCCACGCCTGGATGGCCCACGTGCAGCAACTGCAGGACCGTGTACCGCAAGCTCTGCGGAATCACCACCCTGGAGCCCCACAGCAGGCAGCCCTGCTGCAGGCTCAGCTTAGCGGACTTATGGCTGTACGTCCGCTCAGCCAACTCCTCTCCTCGGGACACCACCTTGACCACCTGTGACAGGACCGGGACCCGGCTGGTTGCCTGTGACAGTGCCGATCTGGACAGCACCTCCGGGTAAGCGTGCTCAAGCATGAACATTTCAGCAGGTTCAGGAACTGCAGCAGGCACCACCGGCAGGGGCAGTCATCTCAGAGTATCAGCAGGTGCCAGGTCCTTCCCCGGTATGTAGACCAGCCGGTAGCTGTAGGCCGCGAGCTTCAAAGCCAAGCACATCACTCGAGGCGACGTCTGTACTGGAACCACCTTGTCGGGCCCCAGCAGTCCCAGCAGCGGCTTGTGGTCCGTGACCGCCTCGAACCTCTGGCCCCACAAGTACTGCTGGAAGCGCTCGACCCTAAACATGACGGCCAGGCCTTCCTTGTCCAGCTGGCTGTATCGCTGTTCTGCAGCATAGAGCCGACGGGACGTGAACAATATGGGCGTTCCTGGCCATTCTTCTGCCGGTGGGCCAGGACGGCTCCCTCACCGTACGGTGACGCATTCACCGTCAGGACGACATGCTTGGCCGCATCGAAGTGCACCAGTACTGGAGCCTTGGTGATAAGCTCCTTGCTGCGCTGGAAGGACAAGCTCTGTTCCTTCCTCCAGGCCCACTGCTGTCCATCTCGAAGCAGAAGATGAAGTGGCTGCAGATGCGACGACAGGTTCGGCAGGAAGGTCCTGTAGAAGTTAATGAGGCCGAGGTAGCTCTGCAGCTCTTTCTTGTTCTGGGGCTTGGGCGCCTTGAGCACCTCTTCAACCTTGCGAGGTGCTGGGGCCAGGCCTGCCAGAGAAATGACATGGCCTAGGTACTCAATGCTGGGGGCCAAGAAGATGCACTTCTCCAGCTTGAGCTTCAGCCCGGCATCCTGCAATCGTGCCAGGACTCTGTGTAGGTTCTGCAGGTGTATCTCTTCGTCTCTACCGGTCACCAGGATGTCGTCCAAGTACAGCGCCACGTGCCTCATGCCCCTGAACTGGTTGTCCATCTCCCTCTGGAAAATGGCAGGAGCTTAGGCCATGCCGAACGGTAGGCGCGCGTACTAGAAGAGTCCCAGCGTTGTCGATATGGTGACATACTTCCGGGACGACTCCTGGAGCACCAGCAGCTGGTACGCATTTCTGAGGTCGAGCTTGGTGAACTTCTGTCTCCCGGACAGCGCCGACCAGAGGTCTTCAATGCGTGGCAGCGGGTACTTCTCCATGGTAGCGACAGGGTTGATGGTGATCTTGAAGTCCCCGCAGATCCTTACACTGCCGTTTTGCTTGAGCACGGGCACGATGGGAGTGGCCAACTCTGAAGACATGACGGGCACCAAGACGTCGTCTTGCTACAATCGTTGCAGCTCCTGCGTGACACCGTCCTTCAGGGCGAACGGCAGTGGGCGTGGCTTGAAAAACCGGGGCTTGGCTCCGTCTGGCACATGAATGCGCGCCACCGTGCCGATGAATGTGCCCCCCCCCTTCCCCCCGTCCGGGCTGGAACAGGGTTTTAAACTTGATCAGGGGGCTCGGGACGTCTTTCACCGCACGTACAGCTTCCTGGTACTCCTGCAGCCGCACACCCAATGCCTGGATCTAGTTCCGGCCCAGCAGCGTCGGTGACGGCCCCTTGGTCAGCTACAGGGGCAGGATGGCCTTCCTGTCACCAAGGCGGACGCTGACCTGGGCGACCTGTCCCGAGTAGCTGCAAAGCATGACGCCTGACGCCTCGACTGGCACGCCCGGCAAGGTGCACTTGAAGGCCTTCCTGGCCATCACTGACACACTGGCCCCTGTGTCCAGCTCCATGGAGATGGGACGCCCGCAGACTTCGACGGTCAGCATATACGGTGGCACAGACGACTGACGCATGTCCGTGTGCCACACGTCAAAAATCTGCGGGTCTCCGGCCATGACGTGAAGCCCAGCCGTGGCAACCGAGCCCCGCCACAGTGGTCTAGTGGTTAAGGTACTCGGCTGCTGGCCCGCAGGTCGCGGGATTAAATCCCGGCTGTGGCAGCTGCATTTCCGACGGAGGCGGAAATGTTGTAGGCCCGTGTACCCAGATTTGGGTGCACGTTAAAGAACCCCAGGTGGTCAAAACTTCCGGAGCCCTCCACTACGGCGTCTCTCATAATCATATGGTGGTTTTGAGAAGTTAAACTCGACAAATCAATCAAGCCGTGGCACCCGAAGCTGCTGCCGCATGCCCCCACCGCCTCCGCTTGCGTTGCCTCACGTGGCCATGGGCTGGCGCGGAACACGTTCTCGGCGACGGCGGCTTCCTTCCGTCGGTCGTCCCCCCTCGGCACGCCCGAGCAATGTGCCCAGTCCTTCCACACGCGAAGCGCTCCGCTTCCGCGAACTGGCACTTTGAGGGGGGGTGGTCGCCACCGCAGCGACTGCACTTGCCACACCGAGTCGCCATCTTGTTCACCACCGCTTCCGTCGACGGTGAGCCGGCCGCCCGTGATAGCTCGCTCGCGTCCTTGGCCGCAGCTTCCATCGCCAGCGCTGCCTTTACCGCGTCGTCCAGTGAGGGGTCGGGAAGCTCCAGGAGTCGCATCTGCATCGCGGGGTCGTTGATGCCGCAGACGAAACGGTCCCGGAGCAGCGAGTCGAGCTGCTCCTCGAAGGCGCAGCCGCTCGCTAACCCTCACAGCGCTGCAACGATGTGCCCGAGCGTCTCGGCGGCTCCGGTTGTTGAAGCGAAAGCGCTCCATTAACGTCGACGGGTCCGGGCTGAAGTGCGAGCGTGGCGTCGCGAGGAGCTCACCTAGCGACTTGTCATGCGGTGTGGCCGGCTTGTGCAGGTCGAGCAAGAGCCCGAAGACGCTGGTTCCGCAGCTGGCCAGGAAGATGTCGCGCTGTTTTTCCACGGGGGTGTCGTTCGCCCGAAAAAAACACGCCGACCTGTTCCTCGTAGACTGGCCAGGCAGACCCATCACCCTGTAACGGCTCGAGCCTCCCGTAGAGCAGCATGGCGTAATGACGGCCGACGTGGGGGGCAGTGTCGGCGTTCTCGATGGCTTCGGTCACTCCGTGGGCTTCTTTCTTCATCGCCAGTGTCACGATGTGGTGCGCGTTCGTGAACCTGGGAGGGCCGGGGTACCCTCTAGCAGAGTAATAACCTGCTACGGCTGGTGGACGGTGACTGACCCCCGAGAAGCTGTGCTCGGCGGTGTTTATTGAGTCCGCCGTGCCCAATGTTGCCCACCGAGCCTACTAGGGCCACTTAACCTAGCGGCCAACAAATAAATGGAAAGGGGGGCGCCACACGATTGTCACACTAGCCAATCTGGCTCCAAGCTCTATCAGCAAGCGACCTTCATACTCTTCACCGGCCGCACACGCGCATTGTCAATATGCATTGCGGCAGCCTACATGTAGCAGAACCCCCGTCGGCAAAGGCACTGTCTCGACGCATTTAGACGTGAACGTCATTGGGCGAGTGGTACTGCTTCAGGCATGTGACGTGTACAATGTCGCTAGTCCGAGGGGCTGATGAAGACGACGTGGCAGTAGGAGCGAATTTATAAGTGACGTGAGTCACCACACGAAGCACTCTGTATGACCCCGTGTCCCGAGAGAGCAGTTCGTCAGACAGGCCAACTTGCCTAGTCGGAGACCACAGCAGAACCAACAAACCGGGTGAAAAGTGCACATCGCAGTGTCGTTGTTCATACCGACGGTGATAGTTTACTTGGGAGGTCAAAAGGCGAACGCGATCAGCTTCGCGTGCGTGGCCAGCCCGGCTAATAGCGTCCAGGGCCTATTCTTTGGTCGGAGCTGCTGGAAACGAAATGACTGTCTCGAGGGGCAATGTGGGTTTGCGGCCGAACAAAGGAGAAATTGAGATAACCTGCTGTGTCAAGGCGCGAAGAATTTTGCGCAAATATCACGTATTGTACAGCGAGGTCTCAGTCAGAGTGGTCTGAGGAGACGTACTTTGAAAGCATCTCGGTTAGGGTTTGGTTCGGACGCTCTGTGAGGCCATTTGTTTGCGGATGGTACGATGTATTGAGCTCATGGTATGCCATCAGTGTATTGAGCTCATGATAAGCCTCCTCTGGCATCGACATCCGCAGACGCGGTCATTCTTCCTGGCGTCCCCTGCTTCTCGTGCTGGCTTGAACACACGGCGCAACTTCTTTTCTTCTTCAGACGCTGTCGGCTTGCCATAAGCTTGTATCGCTTGAAACATGAGATTAGGATGTCGCTATGTCTCGATAGAAATATGCGGCTTTGGTCTGTGAGCAGCTGGCGTGGAGCACCATGTTGCGAAACCATGTCGCGCAGAAGAAAATCGGCGACGTCTGTGGCGCCACTTCTTCGAAGAGCGCGAGAGGCGTCGTAGCTTGTGGCGTAGTCAGTGGCCACGTATATCTACTGTGGGGACTTCGCTACTCACCAAAGCGTATTATCACCACGGTTCACGCCTAGCGAGCCACAGGGCCGCGAATCCATCACCACTCGCGTGTAGCGCACCACTCTGCGCACGCTCGACTAACAAGGCGTTTAGAGCAGCGCGGCGAAACAGACAGTGTACGAATAACAGTAATACACTAACACTTTATTGTCTTTGGCAGCACCCTAAGCTCAACAATGAGATCACTGAATGAACGTCCGCTCCTGGGACGTGGGGAGCAAAGGCTCCGGACGTTCACGATAAGGAGAAACCGCGAGCACGTCGCAGCTGGCAATGGCGAGCTTTGACAAGCCGGTTGTGAAAAGGTCCCTTGCGGCTATGCTGCGCACTCTCACGATGACCACTGGGCCTGGTCGCGAGAGTTAGGGCGAACCTCGTACGCGTAGGCCTATGGCAAGTGCGGCTTGGTGTGGTACGACTACCTCAAGCACTAGGCACCGCTGTTGGCTTAGCGTATGGTACCGAAGCTAGCACTCAAGTAAACACGCCTGCCGGGATGCCAAGGCCCCCCAGGCAGGCTACAGTACGGCGATTACCAAAGGGGACGCGGACGAGGGAAATACGTGCTTACCCGGCGCCGATCGCGGAGGAGAGAGCGCCCATCCTGGCGCGCACGAGAGTCGGCCTCCCGAGAACACGTGCCACGCCCGCGCGAGCCGCCATCTATCACCTCGCACCATTTCCAGAG